GCTGCCTCCACCCCTCTGATTGTCTTCATCTCCCCTTTTCCAGGTGCTCCCAAGTGCAGCTGCCCACATGTTCCTGTAAAGGCCAAGTTTGGCTCTCTTTGCTTCTCTGCCTCAGTGCCCCCTCTGCATTGATGGTCAGTGAGTCTTCAAAACCAAAATTACCTTCCAAGGAGGCTTCTGAGGTTCTGAGAAACTCGGAGACTTGCCAAGGTCACACAGGTGTCAGAGCTGGGTTTCAAGAGACGGTTGTTGTTGCTCTCAAATGTATGCTTTCTCCAAACACCCAGCCACCACATTAACCTGATGGACCAGTGTTTGCAAAGGCACCAAGCAGAGTGGGAGAATGACATGCTTAGGACCAGTTGGGAAGGGGTTTTCCTACTGTGACACGTTCATGAGAGAGACAGAAGACAGTGCATGTAAGTGGTTGTGGGTTTTGGGTGGAGATGGACTGACACTTTTTTTTCCCTTTCAACATTATAAGACTGATATCCCATTGTTTTTTGACTTCCATTATTTTGGGTAAGTAGTTATCTGTAAGTCTTACTGTTTTTTTTTTTAAATAAATTTATTAATTTTATTATTATTACTTTTTGGACACGACACATGGTTTGTGGGATCCCAGCCAGGGATCAAATCTATGCCTTCAGCAGTGAGAGCACAGAGTCCGAACCACTGGACCACCAGGGGATTCTCTGTAAGTCTTATTGCTGTTCCCCAGAATATGGTGTTGGCTTTCTATGTCTGCTTTGAAGATTTTATTTTAATCGTAAGTGTTCAGCAGCTTGGTAGGCAGCCTCTGAGAAGACCCCCAATGATCCCTGCTTCCTGGTGTTCCCACCCTGTGTGGTCCCTTCCCATTGACTATGGACTGGACCTCCTAACTTGCAGAACACAGTGGAGCTACTGGACTGTCACTGCTGGTGAAATGCATGGCTTCCATCTCAGGGGCTCTGGGGCAAGTCAGCTGCCGTGTTGTGAGTGGCTCTGTGCAGGCCTGGCATCCGTGAGGAATGTGGCCTGCGAGAAGCCATTGAAGTGACATGAAAACAAGTCATCCCCCAGTCAAACCAGCATGTCAAGCCATGGCCCCAGCCAACAGCCTGGTTGCAACTTTGTGAGAGACCTTGAACCGGAGTTGCCTGGCTGAGTTCTGCTAGATTGCTCACCCACCAAAACGGTGAGATAAGGAATGTAAGTTGTTTTTTTTTTTTTTTTTTAATATTTTGGCCACTTGGCATGTGGGATCTTATTTCTCTGACCAGGGATCAAACCCACATCCCTTGCACTGGAAGCAAAGTCTTAACCACTGAATGGCCAGGGAAATCCCAGTGTAAGCTGTTTCAAACTACTAGGCTTCAGGGCCATTTGTTAGGAAGCGACACGTGACTCATGTGAAAGCCCTGTGGGCTTTCAGCCTTGGCAGCTCACACTGCATCCTCACTGGTTGGACTCCTCACTGGTGCCTCGTTGCCACAGGGGGCCTTTGTTCCTTCTGGGCCTCAGAATTTAGGAAGACTGCGTCCAAAGTGTCATGGAGTAACAATGACCCTATATGCGAGACAGCAAACGAGACACCGATATAAAGAACAGATTTTTGGACTCTGTGGGAGAAGGCGAGGGTGGGATGATTTGAAAGAATAGCATTGAAACGTATCTATTACCATATGTGAAATGGATCGCCGGTCCAGGTTCAGTGCATGAAACAGGGCACTCGAAGCCGGTGCACTGGGACGACCCTGAGGGATGGGATGGGGAGGGAATTGGGAGGGGGGTTCAGGATGGGGAACACACATACACCTATGGCTGATTCATGTGAATATATGGCAAAAACCAATACAACACTGTAATTAGCCTCCAATTAAAATAAATAGATTAAAAAAAGTGCCATGGAAATGTAGCTTACCTTGGGATATAAATAGCCTGTAATTAAATTTACTTCCTTAAGAGACGTATTAGTGGAAGAATCTGGAAGACGTCTGGGGTCACTAACCCCATTTGATAGCCCTTCACAGTATTAAACTAGGTTAGGAGCTTCTACAACACCTGCTGGCTCAGGGATTCCCTGGTGGCCCAGTGGTAAAGAGCCCGCCTTCCAATGCAGGAGACACGGTCCAAGAAGAGTCCGCCTGCCTCCAAGCATCTAACCCCGTGCGCCACAATTACTGAGCTCGTGTTCTAGAGCCTGTGTTCCACAAGAGAAGCCACCAGAACGAGGGGCCCGGGCACCGCAACTGGAGAGTAGCCCCTGCTTGCCGCCACTAGAGAGACATCCTTGCAGCAGTGAAGACTCAGTTTAGTTGCTCAGTCATGTCCTACTCTTTGCGACCCCATGGACTGCAGCTCGCCAGGCCTCCCTGTCCATCACCATCTCCCAGAGCTTATTCAAACTCATGTCCATCGAGTCGGTGATGCCATCCAACCATCTCATCCTCTGTCGTCCCCTTCTCCTCCCGTTTTCAATCTTTCCCAGCATCAGGGTCTTTTCCAAAGAGACTCAGTGATTTCCCAATGAGACTCAGTGCAGCCAAAACTAAATAATAAAATAAATAAAATCATTAAACAAATAAAATCATGCTTGTTGTTGTAAAACAACAACCTTGGACACTGGGCAAGGTAGTAAACTATTGGAGTGTCTCTAATGGAATATGGCTGGGGAAAAGGAGGCTAGTAAGGACAGTAGGGCCAGCAAACCCACTGGTGGATTGGTCCGCCTTTGTTTGGCCCATTGCCTAGAACAGAACTGAGTCGGGCATTGAAGCACAGCGATGAGCAAGACACACTCCGTTTCTATCTTCAAGGAGTTTTTGTGCGAGTGGCAAGAGAGTGATGGTCAACAATGAAGTAGAATTGTGGGGACTGCCAGAAAGGAGTAGAGGTGGCTATGGATGTATGTACTGGGGAGGGGACCTAGTACTTGTTTTTATTGTTTCATAAGAAATAATCACAAATGTAGCAGCTTAGCGTAACCCACGTTTTTAAACTCAGTTTCTATGGGTCAGAGTTTTAGCCCATTTTAGTTGGGTTCTCAGCTCAGGGCTCACCAGGCTTCGCTTAACACTTCGGCCAGAATGTGTCCTCCCCTGGAGGCTTGACCAGGGAAGGGTCCCTGCCAAGCTCCTTCCAGTTGGCGCCAGGATTCATTTCCATGGGACTGCCTGGCTGGAGCCTAGCTCTTTGCTGGCTGTTGGCTGGAAGCAGTCCTCAGGTCTTACCACCATCCAAACATCTGCAGATGGGTTCTCCAGAGGCCCTCTCATAGCACAGCCTATACAGAGAACCTCTCCCTATAGTCTAAGATGAGTTCTTTTTTTTGAAATAAATCTTTATCAGAGTGTAGTTGATTTACAATGTTAGCTTCTGCTGTACAGCAAAGTGATTCGGTTATACATATACATCTATCCATTCTTGTTTTTTTTTTAGCTTCTTTCCCCATATAAGTCATTACAGAGTACTCAGTAGAGTTCCCTGTGCTATAGAGCAGGTACTTATTAGCTATCTATTATATATATACATATTAGTATGGCATCACTGACTCCATGGGCATCAGTCTGAGTAAACTCCGGGAGTTGGTGATGGACAAGGAAGCTTGGCGTGCTGCAGTCCCTGGGGTCGCAAAGAGTCGGACACGACTGTGGATGGTTGAAGGCCTGGGAGAGTCTGAGATTTCCCAATAGGAGAGTCTATACCGGAGCCATGGGCCACCCTAATACCCCAGCATGGAGAGGTTGGGAAGAGAAGGGGTGCAGACTCCAGAGGGGTCTCCGGTGGTAGGAGTTTAGTCGCTAAATTGTGTCCAACTCTTGCAACCTCATGGACTATGGTCTTGGCTCCTCTGTCCATGAGATTCTCTAGGCAAGAATGCTAGAATGAGTTGCCATTTCCTTCTCCAGGGGATCTCCCCAACCCAGGGATCGAACCCAGGTCTCCCGAACTGCAGATGGATTCTTTACCAGCTGAGCCATAAAGAAAGCCCAAGAATACTGGACTGCATAGCCTATCCCTTTCTCCAGCGGATCTTCCCAACCCAGGAATGGAACCTGGGTCTCCTGCATTGCAGGTGGATTCTTTACTGACTGAGCTACCAGGGAGGAGCCGCCAGTGATCTAGAGGAAAACGGGGACTTTGGCATCCCAGGATACCCAAGATCAAAGGTGGTGAGGACAGAGGTTTTATGGATGACTGGTACTTGGACTTACGGGGTGCCATGCAGCGCGAGGAGAGTGCTTCAGGTGGGGAACAGCGTAGGAACAAAAGCTTTGCGGCAAGAAGGGGAAAGAGCTCTGTTCAGAGCACCAGTTTTGTGGCTTCAAGTGACCTTCAGAAATCTCTGATCCTGTCTGCAGGAGGCCCTTAAGGGAGAGCCGAATTTGCCTCTACTCCATTCCGCACATCTTTGGGGCTTTGAAAATGTAGCTCAGTCGGTAAAGAGTCTGACTGCAGTGCAGGAGACCTAGGTTCAGGAAGACCCCCTGGAGAAGGAAATGTCAACCCACTCCAGTATTCTTGCCTGGAGAATCCCATAGACAGAGGAGCCTGGCTGGCTCCAGTCTATGGGGTTGCAAGAGTCGGACATGTTTGAGCAACTTAAGCACACATGGCTTGGGGGCCAGGAGGTCTCCCTCCTTGGGCCTCAGTTTCCCTTTCTGTAAAGAGGACCATACTAAATGAAATCAGTCCTGAATATTCATTGGAAGGACTGATCCTGAAGCAGAAGCTCCAACACTTTGGCCACATGATGCAAAGAACTGACTCATTGGAAAAGCCCCAGATGCTGGGAAAGATTGAAGGCGGGAGGAGAAGGGGACGACAGAGGATGAGATGGTTAGATGGCATCACCGACTCAATAGACATGACTTTGAGCAAGCTCCGGGAGTTGGTGATGGACAGGGAGGCCTGGCGAGCTGCAGTCCATGGGGTCGCTAAGAGTACGACACGGCTGAGCGACTGAGCCGAACTGAAAGAGAACCAATTCCATAAACTTGAGTTCCGGGTTTGGTATGACCAAGGTCTCGCTGAGCGGAGCCCGGGTGGACTTGACGCCGGGCCGTCCCGGGTCGGACCGGGGTGGACCGAGGTTCCGGGAGCTCTCGGTGCAGGGACCCCCTCAGCCCCGCCCCGGAGCGGCCCCGCCCCACCTCCCTTTGTTTCCCAAGGCCCCGCCCACCGCGGCCAGCTCCCTCCCTATTGGCCGGGGGGCGGTCCCCGAACACCGGGGAGCCGCCAGGGGCGGGGCATCGTGTTGCGGGCGGGGCGAGTGCGCCTGCGCGGAGCCCGAGCCCGGTCGCAGCCTTTCGGCGGCCGCTGCTCCTGAGGAGCCGGAGCGCTATCCTGAGTTGGGACCCGCTGAGGCGGCTGTGAGGCGGCCCCGCCCCGGGGCTCCATTGTTGCGGCGGCGGCAGCTGCTCTGCCGGCTGCTCGGCTCCTCCTGGATCGGCCAGGGCGGCCTCCGGCTAGGAGCGATCGCTGCCCCGGCGGCGGCCTGAGGTGAGGCGGCGGGCGGCGGGGCCGGGCCGGGCGGGGGACCCCCGGTCGGACACGGGCTCCGGGGCTGGGAGAGGGTCTCACGGCCAAGCGGCGGTCTCGGGCGGTCGGGGGGATCCTCGGGAGTCAGGGGTCCCAGAGCCGGGCTGGGTCCAGGGTGGGGCAGGGGTCTCGAGTCGGGCGGGGGTCCCGGGGCCGAACTGGGGTCCCAGAGCCGGACAGGGGTCCCCAGGGCCAGACTGGGGTCCCAGAGCCGGACGGGGGTCCCGGGGCCGGACTGGGGTCCCAGAGCCGGGCGGGGGTCCCCAGGGCCGGACGGGGAGGAGGGCAGGGGTCTTGAGTCGGACGGGGCTCCCGGGGCCGGACTGGGATCCCGGGGTCGGGCGGGGCTCCCGGGCCCGGACTGGGATCCCAGGAGACAGGGGTCTCCGAAAAGGCAGGGGTCCCGGGCCGGGCGGGGGTCCCAGGGCCGGATTAGGGTCCCAGAACCGGGCGGGGGTGCTGGGGCCGGACTGGGATCCCAGGCGGCAGGGGTCTCCGAGAAGGCAGGAATCCCGGGGTCGGACGGGGATCCCCCCCGGGTGTGGCACATCCGAGCGGGGCGCCGCGGGGTCGCTTGCCCGAGGTGTCGGCCGCCGCCCTGAGCGCCAAGCGGGGACAGGGTCGCGGAGCGGAACCGACCGCCGCGCGTCCGGGCGCCGGGCATTGTCTCGGCTTCGGGGTGGCTCCGAGGGGGCTCCGCGCCCTCCAGGACTCCTCGGCGATCGGCCGGTGATGCCCCCCCGCGCGGGGTCCTTGTCATCCTGAGGGCGGGGACACTGCCTCAGTCTCCGCTCCCTCCCTAGGGTGGCTGGCTCGCGCGGTTGTCGCCTGAAGGCAGCTCTGGGTGGGCCCTCGCACGAGGGGACCCCGGACGTCCTGGGAGTGGGAGACTGTCTTTGTTCCCTCCCCCCACCGTTACCTCCACGGGGTGACTGGTTCGCGGTGTCTCACCGAGGGTGACTGCGTGGGCCGCCGATCGTAAGGATTCTGGTCACTCCGAGAGTGGGGCTCTGAGTGTTTGTGGGTCACCGAGGGTGGCTCCGCGTGGACCCGTGCGCTCGGTGTCTTGGCCCCCCTGCGAGTTGGGGGGCTGTGCCCCTTCCCTACGCCTCCCCTCCCCGACCACCCCCCCCCCCCGCGGCTTGGGGGGGGGTGTGACCAGTCCGGGGACAAGCTCCCCTTTTCCCACAACGGTGCGCGCTTGCGTGTGTGTCTTAGGGGGTTCCATGTGTCGACGGGTGTCCCTGCGCGGGGAGCGGCGCCGGTCGGGCTGTAATGGGCTTGTGCGTGGGGGAGAAGCATTTGGCTCGAGTCGGACAGCTGAGCCGCTCTTTTATTTATTGTCTCCCTTGCCGTGTGAATAGAAGCGGCTGCACTGGCCCCGGAACCCGCCCCTCTCCCAGGCCCGGTCCCCGGGGAGCGCGGGGCTGTCACTGCGCCGCCGGGGGACCGCGCGTCGGGGTTGCGGCCGGCGTTTCCTGCTGGGGCGCGAGACTCGGCCGGCCGGCGGGAGCCGGCTCTGATTGGAGGGAGCCTGGTCCCTCTGCCCGGCGCTTCTTGATTTCTTCCGTTAGGATTGGGAAGAAGAAAAAAAAAAAAAAGAGTCTGGAAAGCCAGATTTAACTTTGCAGCTCTCAGCGCCTGGAGACTGGAAGAAAACTTTCCCAAGAATTTGGCGGGCTGGAGAGTGCGTTTGAAGGAGGGGAATCCACACCCGCGGAATGAGGCCAAGGCAGTTACAGTTAGAGGTCAGGTTTATGCAAGGAATAGAGGGGGTGAGGCTGTGGGTCATTCATTTACCCTTGTATGAAAACACCTATTATGTTACAGGGGGAGTGACTCTTTTCCCCTGGGGAATGCAGTGTCTAACAGGTCAGTCTTTTCCCTTTTCAGAGCGTCCTGGTCTAAGACAGAAAACTGCTATAGACACAAGTAACTTTAATATCCAAATGGAAATTCTTTGTGAACGGACAGGGTATAAATAACAGAAATGCAAGATGGAAATGTGGCCATAACTGCAGCTGTCGCTGTTATAAAGTCCAGACTTAGCCGCTGGCCTTTCACTCTGCCTTGTCTCCGCTCACTCCCGTCTCCCACCACCCGTGCACCCAGGTCCAGGGCTTCCAACTTCGTTTGGCCATTCTTACAGTATCAGTTTAGGTGACACCTTCTTTCTGAAGGCTCCCCTGACATCTTCTCGTCCTGCCCTCTGAGAGCCGTGGTCTTTAAGGACAGGGTGGTTTGCTGCTATACCCAGAGAGAATGAGGTCTGTTTGAAGGAGAGGCCCCTTTTCTCCACCCTGGATCCAAGTGTTTCCTGTGATTTAAAATCCGCAGTTCTTCAACTCTCCTAAGGACTTTCAGATGAACAATTGCCATCACTGTGTTTGTTGCACAGTGTGGAGTACTTAACTTGAATTTATTTGGTCTGAGTTTGGCTCTGGAATGAAGCCGCTGTTTGTTCCTGCAAAACTACTGGGCTTCAGTTTCCTCACCTTCGAGGGTTGTAAACTAGGTAAGAACTTTGTCAGCCCTAAACCTTTAATTCTTTCAACCAAATACAGCAGAGGAAAGTTCTGTCAGTGGCAGTGGTATAAATAATGGAGATCCTTTAAAATGTAGGTTCTAAAGTGAAAGTTTTGTAGCTTCCACAAAGTTTAGTTGTGGGTGTATTCTTTGTCTCAGAGTTGAAAGACACTGTCCTGATGGAAGCTTTGGCAACTACTTGATACTGTCTTGCATATTCTTCATAATTGCATTTTACTTTCAACATCTGTGCTCTGTCAAATTGGTTTGAAGTTTTCCTTAATGAAGTTGTTGGGTTCAGAACTCTTGGCAGGAGCATGTTGCTGATCTTTTGAGTGTCATACGAAGTCGGCCAACTGCAGGCTTTCTTATGCCCTAATCTCTAATAGAAATTTTATTTTATTTTTTAAATTTTATTTTTATTTCATGTTGGGGTATAGCCGATTTAACAGTGTTGTGGTGGTTTCAGGTGAACATTGAAGGGACTCAGCCATACCTATACATGTATCCATGCTGCCCTAAACCCCTCTCCCATCCAGGCTGGCACATAACATTGAGCAGAGTTCCATGTGTTGTATAGTAGGTCCTTGTTGGTTATCCATTTTAAATATAGCAGGGTGTACATAACCTTCCCCAAATCCCTAACCATCCCTTCCCCCCAGCAACCATAAGTTCAGTTTCTAAGTCTGTGAGTCTCTTTCTAACGGAGATTTTAATTTGGAGAGTATGAGATGAGTGAACGTGGGGAGTACCTTGAGTGGGTGTTTGTGGCTTTGTGTAATGGATTAAAGCATAGTTTAAAATTATTAGTTTCAAATTTGCATCATGTTAAATGACCTATAAAGCTTCAATTCTAAAGAATATAGTAATTAGTTCTTAAAAATATTAATCTCCCTTCCAATTATGTTTGGCAAGGTGGGAATTTGACGTGCTTGATTCTTTTAAAGCCACATGTCTGTTGTTGAAAGGATACACAACACAGTTTTCTCTGCTATTCTTATTTGGGTGATTACAGGGATTAAACATAGAGGGTAGCTGTTTGGTCAAGGAGGGATGCCACCAAATTATATTTTCACATTAAGTAGCATTTTTTGTCTTTATTTTGATTTGCAGCATTTAATTAATATAATATATTAAAAAGTGCATTGTTTCATATATGTATGCACTCCATGTGGTTTGTCTTGTTCCCTGGTGGCTCAGGTGGTAAAGAATCTGTCTGTAATAAGGGAAACCCGAGTTTGATCCTTGGGTTGGGACGATCCCCTGGAGAAGGGAATGGCTACTCGCTCCAGTATTCTTGCTGGAGAATCCCATGGACAGAGGAGCCTGGCGGGCTACAGTGCGTGGGGTCACACAGATTTGGACACGACTGAGCGACTAAGCACACACATATTTTGGGAGCCATCTTCAGAAATGCAAATAGGTTTTCTTTGTGGTTTTCTGAGATTGTCTTAATATTTTCTCTGAAAGCTCTTTACTACTTGTTCTGCAGGCAGGACTGGTTTTTATATGGATTAAATGAAGAGGGAGCGTTCAGAGAAGAGGTTGCCTGGGGATGGAGGAGTTAGCGTTTGAGCTGTGCTTTTCGCTGTCCTTCCTCCTGTTCTCCACTGGAAGAAGCGGGTTGACCAGCTCTTCCCTGGGGGCCTCATTAGAGAGCTGACTTCACCTCACCTTAAAGAACTGATGGTACCTCCCCCCTTTTTTAGTTTATGATATCCTCTAAATCATCTTGTTTAAGTATTCTTTTTTTAGAACCAGAGGTTCAGAGAGAAATTTTTTTCTTAAGCTATAAATCTAAGTCTTTGCTGTTACCCGCTCTGCCCCACCCCGCCTGCATCCCACACCAGCTACCAAATGGCTTTTCCCTCTTTGTTTTCCGTTTTAAAGATCTTATCATATATGTGCCTATTATTACAGGCTACATCAAAACCGTTTTGAGTGTTGACAGGATGTAATATGAATAATATATTCAAGATAACTTACTCCAGTACTTTTGCACAGGAAGCTTGGCCCCAGGAAGGCATTTGTTAAGGTCAATTACTTCCTTGAACTTCAGTTTCCCTCCCTAGCTCAAGAGATTGTCCTGAGGATAAAATGAAATCCTGTATATAACAGAATTTTGTAAGGTGTAAAATATGTTGCCAAGGATTAAAAGATAATGCTTCATTAAGAATGTAATGAGTCTGGGTTTTTTTTTTTAAACTCCAAATGTTTAATATACAGATGGTCCATAACTTGAAGGGTATTGGGCAACTTCCTGTAGGATTGTTTTCTATCTTTAATTGGCCAGTATTGTTTGATATCAGCCTTTTGAGGGAACATCTAATTCAAGTTTCAGAGATGTTACTCTTTTGAAAGTAAGGCTACGGAACATGCAGACTGTAGCCTTTAACGGTCTCTGTCTTACGTCTCTCTCGGGTTCATGTTCCTGTGAACCTTCCTTTAATGAAGCCTGATGGCTGGGCATTTCCGTTCCTAAGGGACCTGTCTTGAGGTTGGGAAAGGCAGTAGGCATTGCCAGGTCACGATCGACAAAAGTGCCGGTGGGCTCACATCTGAAATGCCCTGGAGTGTGAGCCGCGGGAGTCAGGGGGAAGCTGACCTCAGCCCGCTGGAGTCCTCGGGCCTTCTCTTCTGGCACCTTGGAGACTGCAGGGTCGCCCGCCCACCAGGCAAGGCTGCCTTTCCCTTCCTCTCCACCAGCTCTGAGTATCTCTGATGCCCCAGGCATTGGCAGGAGGCAAATACAAGGGCTGATAAAATCCAGCACTGGTCCACAAAGACCCGACAGTGTAGACCCAGGTGATAAGTGACACTGTCACACAGTTTGACGGACATGCTCCTAGATGGCCTGTGATGTGCCTGAGGGTGGGTGGCCTGTGGACACTGGAAGGGGGGACCCAGTGCCTCATTGGAGAAGAGCTGGAGGCTTGTAGTGGCGGGAGAGGCAGACCTGGGCGCAACTCAGTGCAGGCAGGAGGTGCTGCCAGGGCTCTGCCGGACGTCTGGGGGCCAGGGCACACAGTCCAGCGTTTACTCTTCGCTCTGGTGCTTAGAGTTCCTCAGGTAAGACAGGCAATGGAAGGTTTATAAGTTAAAGCGAAGGCAGTGAGCTACCTGAAGCCTGGACTGTGAGTAGACATTCTGGACAGTTTATAATTCCCCACATCTGCATGTATCAGAACAAGTCTGTGATCTCTGTTGTTTTGGATGGAGTATGACCTTTCCTTTGCTATTTTTTTTGGCTGTATGGCATGTAGGATTTAAGTTCCCCCACCAGGGATCAAACCTGTGCCCCTTGCAGGGGAAGCGTGGAGTCTGAACCACTGGACCATCAGGGAAGCCCCCATCCCTATCTTTTGATTTAAGGAAGTCAGTTGACTCTTGTTGAATGTCGAGGATGTGACAGACACTGCTGGGTGTTTTCACATATACGGCTGTATGGCTTTCCTCGGCTGCTGTAACAAATTGCCCCAAGCTGAGTGGCTTACAACAACACAGATTTATTACCCTACAGTAGATTAGAGGTCTAACTTGGGTCTCATCAGGCAAAAAACAAGGTGTCTGCAAGGCTGTGTTCCTCACTGGAGAATCTGAGGGACAGTGGCTTGCAAGCTCATTCACATTGTCCATCAAATATGGTTGAGGCCACCTGTCGGCCTGAGGCCCCTGTTTCCTTGCTGGCTGCCAGCTGGGAGGCTGTCCCCAGCTCCTAGGGGCGTCTATCTGGGACCCCTGTCTGAGGTCTGTAGCAAAGTGCTTTTTGTCAGGTAAAGTGACATAATCACAGAGCCCAGGGATTAGCACGTGGTCATCTTGGGGAGTCATTATTTTGCCTCCCACAATTACCCAATCCATTTATGACAACATCCAGTGACACTGTTATTGTTGCCCTCAGTTCACAATAAATAAAAGGCATTGGTATTTTAAGCAAATTGTTAGGACCATTAAGATTCCTCTTAAATGACAAGACAGTTCATCTGACTCACCCTTGAGCTGATGGTGGGTTTATAGCAGCAGGTCAGTGAGAAAGAAACAGAGTAAATTTTGCGTTTTGGAGTATTTAAATGGATGGGCTGCTCTGATTATAGAAGTTTTGCCAAGAAGTCATTAAAGTAATTCCTCTATTGGAAAAAATAGACACGTGGGGGATTTGGGATGTGAAGGACTTTTCCTCTTGGGGTGAAGAGTGCACAATTCCATGTCCGTTTCTCCAGTGAAAACAGCTGAGTCGACCCAACGGGGATTCACATTCCTGAACTTCAGAGCATCTGTTTCAAGACTGAAGCAAAGCCCATGAAACAGAGTTCATACTCTCATTGATGGTTTGCAGTGAGGTGTGTCTTGTGGTCAAGGAAGCAACAGGTGATGGTCACGAGTGTTTAAGACAAAGCGTGACCTCATGGAGTCCCAAAGTCAGACACGACTTAGGGGCTGAATAAACAACAACACGATCTTGTTTGTTCATGTTGTTGTTGTGTAGCCACAAAGTCCTGCCTGACTCTTTGTGACCCCAGGGACTGTAGCACGCCAGGCTTTCTGTCCTTCACTATCTCCTGGAATTGGATCATGTAGGTGTTTTTAATAGTTTTTCATTATAATTTTTTTTCCTTCTGTAAGAGAATCTAGAATCCTAAGGCTTTTTAACTCAGCCTTCAGGAATTTACTGGCTGCCTGATACCCTGTGCAGAAATGTTGTGTGTCTTTGTGTGTATGTTTACTGGGGGGAGGATTTATAACTCTCTGTTCTTTTTTGAAGGCGTTGGATTCCAGAAAGTTTAAGAACACACTGCTTAATCTGATATTCTTGCTGGTCAAGTATCAGATTTTGTTTAAAAATGAAATACCCCATTTTAAACAGTTACACAGGCGCATAGTTTTAAGAGACAAAAGTTCTACAGGACTTAGAACAAAAACCCAGCAGTCACCTACCCCACCCTTCTCCACCCTGATTCCCGTCCCCCGAGCCCTCTGCTTTCAGTGTTTTAGCAGTTTCTTCCAGATTTTGTGTGAGACTTCCTGTTTAGGAAGAAGACAATTTGGGTCACCTATTCCCTCCTCCCACCACCCACATCTTTTTCCTCTGTCCTCTCAGTATAATTACATTAAAGGTTTTGGTTAAATATTCAGCAGGACCTATTATGATTCTGGGAACATTATTCACAGCTGAGATATATCATCTGTTTTGCTTACAGTTCCCTTCTTTTATCGTTTTTACCTTTTTTTCTAGAGTTGAGACTTGCTCTGCTATGTTTTGCTTAGTTTTCTGTGCTGAAAACAGCCCCTCAAAGTGTAAATCTCCCTTCTGTAGGTTCACACACAACAAGGAATATTCTATTCTGTCCTTTTATTAGGATAATTTTTTCTGAGCCTGTCACCCACCTGCTGGTGGTTTAGTCACTTGGTTGTGTCTAACTCTGCTACCCTTTGGACTGTAGCCTGCCAGGCTTTTCTGTCCATGAGATTTCCCAGGCAAGAATTCTGGAGTGGGTTGCCATTTCCTCCTCTGGGGGATCTTCCTGACCCAGGGATTGAACCTGCATCTCCTCTGTCACCTGAACTGCAGACAGATTCCATTGAGCAATACCCAGGCTCAGGGAAGCCCTGATTTTCTCCAAATTGGTTGCTTCTCAGGCCTGCTGCACATTCCCTGTTGCCCTGAGGATTTCTTTCACCTCTTTCCCAAATAAGATGCTTTGGCGTTGGTGGTATAGTGGTGAGCATAGCTGCCTTCCAAATAAGATGCTTTCTTATTTTTTAAGTTTTCTCTCTTGTTTTGGTTGAGCATGTTCACCAGCAGTTTTTTAAGACATAATTTTTTTGGAGAACTTCTAAGGAAATGGCAACCCACTCCAGTACTCTTGCCTGGTGAATCCCTTGGCCAGAGGAGCTCGGTGGGTTACAGTCCATGGGGTCATGGAGCCGGACACGACTGAGCGATTGACGACATAATGTTGGAACGTTTTACTCTCGTGTTTAATGGTCATTTTGGCTGAGTGTAGAATCCTGGGTTAGAAATAATTTTCCTGCAGAGTTTGGAAGGCGCTGTTCAGTTGACTTTCAAGGTGCCCAGAGCCATTCCTTTGATTGTGACCTGTGTCTTGCTCTGTGTAAATTCTGCAGGGCTGTTCCTCGTGTTTGCAGATGTCACGGTGGCCGTGCCAAGATGTGGACTATGTGTCGTCCACTGTGCTGGGAGCCAGGCGGACCTCTTCCGGCTGTGGACTCCTGTCCTTTATCCTCAATCTCCTTCAGTCCTCTTTTCCTATTCCTTTGTCTTTTTGTTTTCCCATTGGGGAGATTTCTCCAACTTCTCTAAACCCTTCTTTGAATTTTGTGTTGCCATGATTATTTTAATTTCAGGAGCTCCTTCAAAGTCCCTGAAAATATTTAAAACAAAAACAAAAACCCGTCTTTCCTTGTTTCAAGGATGGTGGTCAGAGGTTTTATAACACCCTGCATCCTGGAGGAAAAGTTTATCTTTTCATGGCTTTTCAGCTTGATTATCTAATAAAACCCAAAGGATTTGAGAGTAGTTTCATCACACTGCCGTAGTTTGAAGGGAAAATTTCCATTCGGCCCATTATCTATTTTCTAATATGGAGAAAAGACAGCTTTTGGTCCTTGTTGGTATTAGAAGACTTTTTTTTCCCCCCACACTCTAAGTCACATGGGATCTCACTTCCCCCACCAGGGATTGAACTTATACCCGCTTCAGTGGACCACCAGGGAAGTCCCTGGAAGATAGCTTTTGTATGTCTTCAGATACCTCCGTTGAAAACATTTCTTTTCCAGCCATCGCCAGGCTGCAGCTGACTTTGCTGTCTGCTTTGTGCACTTAAGATTGTCCACTCTGCATCCTGTGAGGAGCTGCCGTCAGTGGGTCCAGAGTTTGGAATCCTGTGTCTTTTTACCTGACCCAGTGCCCAAGGCATATGCGGTCTCTGGGGGCAGTGGCATTGAGGAGCCTCCTTTTTTTGGGTTGTGTTAATACTTTACTTGCAAGTTTATCAAGAAAAGGAAAAGGAAGTAGTAATAACGATGGATTCTAGCTCTGGACGTTAAATGATGGTGTGACAGATGAGGGGTATTTTTTTTTAATTTTTTTTTGGCCATGCTCTATGGTTTGTGGGATCTTAGTTCCCTGACAGCAGCGAAGGCTCACGTCCTAACCACTGGGCAGCCGGGAATTCCCAAACGAGGGCGTTTTTAGCCACGGTAGGTAGACTTCCCTGGTGGCTAGGTGGTAAAGTGTCAGGAGACCTGGGTTCAGTCCCTGGGTCGGGAAGATCTCCTAGAGAAAGAAATGGCAACCCACTCCAGTACTCTTGCCTGGTAAATCCCATGGACGGAGGAGCCTGGTAGGCTACAGTCAATGTGATCACAAAGAGTCGGACACGACTGAGCGACTTCAGGTTGAGTTAAGTTTGGGGTTGTCATCTAGCGTGGACCTTTCTGTCAGGAAGTTATAGAAGTGACTTCTTGGGAACAGGACAGAGTGCCTTCTGGGGGACGTTTGATGAAGAGCTTTGTGGTGAATGTCCAAGAGAAAGACTGCATATGAAAGTCATTTTGGAGCCCTACTTTTTGAATGACTTTTGAAACCAGTCAAGGGTTTGCCTAAACATTTTCACCATGTGATTCTCAATTAATTTAACCGTGAGAGTCAGGGACGGTTCTTGGGGACATGGGGCATGATGCTTTCTTTTAAAATCCCATCTTCCCAATGAATATAAATTTGTGTGTTGGGCAGTCCTAAGTGAGTTGAGTTTTTTTCTCTAGATGGCTTAATCATTTGAGTTTTCCTGTGCTTAACATGTGACGCACTGTCTTAGCTTGTTTAGGTTGCTATAACAGAACATATAGACCGGGTGCTTTATGAACAACAGGAGTTTCTTTCTCACCATTCTGGAGGCTGGAAGTCTGAGCTCAAGGTGCTGGCCGATTCTGTATCCAGTGAGGACCTGCGTCCTGGCTCACAGACAGCATCTCTGGCTGTGTCCTCATATGTTGGAGGGACATGGGCGCTGACTGGGGTCTAACTAAGGGAACTAATCAATCCCCTCCAGGGGCACCCCACCCTCATGACCTAATCACTTCCCAGAGGCCCCACTCCTCTAATACTGAGACACTGGGGACTAGGTTTCAACATATGAAGTCTGAGGGGACATGGATGTTCAGCCTGTAGGACCCTCTGAGAAGCTCAGACGTACTGTGTGTTCGTGATCCATGTGTGCTAAGTCGCTTCAGTCCTGGCCGACTCTCTGTGACCCCATGGACTGTAGCCCACGAGGCTCCTCTGTCCGTGGGATTCTCCAGGCAGGAATACTGGAGTGCGTGGCCACGTCCTCCTTCAGGGGATCTTCCCGACCCAGGGATCAAACCCCAGTCTCCTGCAGCTCCTGCATTGCATGCGGATTCTTTACTGCTGGGCCACCGGGGAAGCCCGTGTCTTCACGGTAAGTGGGACTGAGTGGTCTAGAAAGTCTAACATTGCCTTTTGGAGTTTGAGTCACCACCCCCATCATGGCTGGCACTGTTTACTGAGTGCTAACTATGTCTGAGGCACCGTGCCAGACACTCTCCATCTGTATCTCTTTTAACCTTTTCAGCAGCTCTTGGGGAGGTAATGTCCTCCTTTTGCAGTTGACAAAATGAGATGAAGACTCACGGAGGCTAAAGTTAACAATACTGCATTGTATGTTTAAAAGTAGCTGAGCAAGTAGATCGTAAGCGTTCCCATCACAAGAAAAAAAAAATTGTAACTGTGTGTGGTGATTGATGCTAACGTGGTCCTTTCACAGTACTTGCATGTGTCAAGTAGTTAGGTTGCCTGCTTGAAACTAACAGTGTTGGTAGTTACTTCGAGGTAAAAACAACGAGGTGACGAGACAGAGAGGAACTCTCTCAAGATCACGAAGGAGGTGGGATTCCAACGCCAACGCCAGAGCCGTGACGAGCATGCGGCCTGGCCTCTGCGTTTGTTAGGATGTTCCGGTGGCCCACACCGGGTGAGCAGAGCGCCCGAGGGCTGTCCTCAGGCAGCCCCTCAGAACACAGCAGTGGGCAGTGCAGCGCCGCCGGGCAGCCCGGCTGCTGTTGGCCCGCCCGGTGGGCCTGCGGTGTCTCTGCTCCCGCCTCCCTTCCCTCCTGCGTTCAGTGGCTTGGAGGGTCTGTGTGCGGCGGTCCCTGCCCGGCAGCTCCCACAGCCCCACACATCGGGAGGGGCCTTGTACGGAGACTGACCGTAGGCTGTTAGGGAGGGCCGCACAAGATGCTGGGGTTTCGGAAGGTGGGCGAAGGGACCACCGAGGGGTGGTCCTAAGGAGGACGTTGCAGGGGGCATCGGCTTTCCACAGCGGAACCGACGATTCCAGCCACCCTGTCTCACTCAGATGCCTTTTCCTGAAATCTCTGTTTCTTAGTGCGGAAAAAGGCATCGTCTCTGCACCGCTGATTTCTATGAGTCCAGTTTTGGATGTTCAGCAGGTTGGAGGCGCCTGGGCTGGACAGAGGAGCCTGCATCTCCCACCTGGCGGGACAGCTGGCGGGCGTGGTGCAGAGGTGTATTGCCCGGCCTGGGCCCAGGCCTCCAGCTGCCCAAAGACGGCTGCCACCAGGGCCCAGAGATGAAGAGACAAGGCAGAGAACACTCAGCGTGTCCCCAGGACGACAGAAGGGTGGACAGATGGCCTCTTGGACAGAAGGGTTGCTGTGACTGACTCCCACGCTGCCTGCTCTCTGAGGCTGAGCCATCCTTTGTACCACAGTGGAAGGTGCTTCCAAGGCCCCTGAAGTCCTGGCGGTCTGTCTGCATTGCCTGAGCCTCAGGGAGGGCGGCCAGGTGTGACTGAGGCACTGCAGGCCCCCAGACTGACTCTGAAGAGGATTTCAGAGTCAGTCAAGTCTCCTGGGAATACAAGCATGGGGTGGTGCAGAAAAACCACTTCCGCGTCACGGCTCATGTAGCATGACTTAGAAGCGTCTCATACCCAGGTGGAAAGTGGAAACAAATCCTGTCTTTGGGTTGCACTGGATAGCACTGCGACTCCTGTGAATACAAGGTTTCAGGTGTGGGGACTGCCAGCCTGCTGATGGGGCGTCTTGTGTTTCCCACTGTGGGGGAAGGCGGGCCAGGAGGAGGGGCCCCACACTTGCCAAGCACCTGGTACTCGCCAGCGGTCTTACAGAAGTGTCCCCTATAATATCATTTTAGAGCTAAATATTTTTGATGAAGATGAAGATGGAGGCTTAGAGATGTTAAAGTTGCTCAAGGTCACATAATTACAAGTGGGGAAAATGAAATGTTTGATGAACTCAAGAGTTTGACCTCAAAGCCCTTGATCTTTCCCGGACACTTGGTTCCTTCCCTGGATAGCAGGGTCGTGATTCAAACCTCAAGAAAGTGAGGTTTTGTGGAAAGAGGGCCCTGGGGACATGAGGTCTCTCCAGACTTGGAATCTGCCACACTGGGCTTCTACATTAGGGACTGGCCATCTGGAGCGAAGCCCCTGGTTTAGGACTTCTCTCTGTGGAAGTAAACGGAGACCAACCGCCTGAGAGAGGCGAAGGCTATTTATTCAGAGCTGCTTAGAGCAAAGGGGTTGGCCTCCGTCACTTGTGCTTGGCAGAGGCTCAGAGGAGGGGGTGAGCTTTCTAGTGGAGAAAAGGGGGCTCACGGGGCCTGATGGAGCTGGGGGCTGCAGGCTCTCTAGAGGAGTGTCCAGGTGACTGTTCAGGGGGCAGGGAGGTTGGTCCTGAGTTGGAAGCAGGACAAATACTAGGAAGGCCATTAGATATCAGTCTGGTCCTGGCCGATTGTCACGGGGGTTGCTGTCTGGCTTCCTGGGTTGTCCCTGGAGAGAGCAGTCTGTCCTCCTGAAGGTCTGACTCACAGCAGGCTGGCTCTCTGGGCTGGCAGCTGCAGGCTGAGGGTCACAGCTCTGCTTTTGCACGGTCTGGTCACTGTCATTGTATACTATCTTTCATCTTTCTCTTCTTGTTAGAAATATTAAAAAATTAGAGGACTTCCCCAGTGGTCCAGTGGTTAAGAATCTGCCTGCCAAGGCAGGGGACACAGGTTCAATCCCTGGCCCAGGAAGATCCCACATACTGCAGAGCAGCTAAGCCCGTGGGCTGTGACTGCTGAGCCTGCGCTCAGTGAAACCGAGGTGGAGAGCAGCTCAGTTGCTTGCTCAAGCTCTTGGCATTATTTCTGAGAGACACAGCACACTGCTAGTTTCAGGAAGTGTTTATTGAGCATGTCGTCTGTAATGGGTGCTGACATGAAATTGCATTTAGGGATGGGGTACAGGGCAAGAGACCTGAGTTCGATCCCTGGGTCAGGAAGGTCCTCTGGAGGAGGTCATGCCAACCCACTCCAGTGTTCTTGCCTGGAGAATCCCACGGACAGAGGAGCCTGGCGGGCTGCAGTGCATGGGGTCCCAAAGAGTTGGACACGACCGAGCAGCTGACACTTTCACTTTCACACAGGGGAGACAGTCCGCAGGCACCAGACCTGCTCATGGAAGGAGGGAGGGGCCCTGTGGGGAGCAGAGGGAGGGGGTCTCTGGACAATGCATGTGACTCTGATGTTCCTGCAGCCCGGTCTGAGGCTCAGTTATTGCAGAGACACTTCCCAGAGAGACTTGATTTTGATTTTGGCTCACCAGAGACTGAAAGCGAAAGTCACTCAGTCGTGTTCGACTTTTTGTGACCCCCGTGGGCGATACAGCCCATGGGATTCTCCAGGCCAGAATACTGCAGTGGGTAGCCTTTCCCTTCTCTGGGGGATCTTCCCAACCCAGGGATCAGACCCTGGTCTCCTGCATTGCAGGCGGGTTCTTTACCAGCTGAACCAACAGGGAAGCCCAAGATAACCTGAGACTGAGTGACCTCTAATGTAAAACAGCCTGAGTCACGGCCTTGAAGGTTAGTGCTGCTGCACCCTAGCTGGCCTGCTGTCACCCCCTAACTCCTGTGGGGGGGGGGCGTCACAGGGACTAGAGTGCTGTGTCGGCGAGTGGCTCAGTGGGTATCTCGTAGCACGTGGATTTGATGCTGGTTGTGATGCATCAGACTTTCCCGCTTTCCCCCACTTGGAAGAAGGTTTTCCCACACCTTGGGCTTTGCTCCGAGGCCACAGGGTTAGAGCAGGGCCCGGCAGTTTACTGGGTGACACGCATGTTGAGTGCTCAGTCGCTCAGCCATGTCCGACTCTTTGTGACCCCTTGGACTGTAGCCCTCCAGGCTCCTCTGTCCATGGGATTCTCCAGGGAAGAATACTGCAGTGGGTTGCCATTTCCTCCTCCAGTGGATATTCCAGGCCAGGGATTGAACGTGTGTTTCCCTTATTGCAGGCAGATTCTTTATTGCTGGGCCACCAGGGCAGCCCGTGTTGTGTGCATGCGAGCAGAGAGCTTTGGATAGTGTGGCAAGAGGCAGTGCCCAGGGCCGTGGGGTCATTGTTTATGAACGTGCCTGTAGCAGCAGCGAGCAGAGAGCTTTGGATAGTGTGGGAAGAAGCAGTGCCCAGGGCCGTGGGGTCATCGGTTATGAACGTGCCTGTAACAGCGCGTCAGGCTGACACAGAGGGGCGGGGGTTTCTCCTCTGTGCGTCCCCTGCTCTTTTGGCGCGTTTTATTTGGGTGTCTCCTATACAGACTGTGTGACTTCAGCTTTTGTCACCAAGTAGTTATAGGAGCTGGTACCTCCTCTGTGGGTCACTTTTTGTTCTGCAGCTCCTTTAAGGAAATTGCAGCTCTCCTGCCTGAAGCACACTGCCCCCCGATTGAAGGTGCTCCTGACTTCTGAGCACCTTGGGAGGTGTATTCTGGTGGAGGAAGTACTCTTCTCTGTTCGGTGGTCTCTGGTGATGGTCCAAGTCGGCAGAGTCTGTAATATGTTGTCTGAAACCCCTGCCCACCCTCTGCCTCCCCTTCCTTCTCCTCCTTCTCCCTGTTTTCTTTTCTTTCTTTTAAAATATTTCTTATTAAAAATTGAGCAAATATTTTGGTTTCCTTCATTTGCTCTTCTTTGCTAGTTACATGTTGAGTGAACCCGAGAAAATTAATAAGATTTTACTTCCCTTCAATGATGATAACAGCTACTCTTAAGCGAGAGGTGGACCATGTGCCAGGCATTGAGAAGTGGCTTTTAATCCTCACACTCAACCAGCTAGGATAGATGGTGTTTACCCATCTATCCCAGTTAATGGGGAGGGGATTTAGCTCAGAGAGCTTGAGACATCCTCCCAAAGTCACACAGCCAGGAAGTGGCAAAGCAGAATCAAACACAGGTTGTCTGTGTAGATGGATAGTCTGATTCCAAAATGGGCTTATAACTCCTGGAGGCCATAGAGCTGAACTTAGGTCGGAATGGCCCTGATGTAGCTGCCTTTATGTATCTTTATTATTAACAGATATTTACTTGAAGTAAACTTCCTTGCCTTCAATAATATGGAGTATTTGAAAGCTTATATTTCAGTCTTGCATTTTACACTTTAGGTTTGCCCTTGATACACGTATTTATTATTCAGTCACAGGGCTTTATAGTGATGACCTTTTCCCCGACATATGCTAAGTCGCTTCAGTCATGTCCAACTCTGAGCAATCCTGTGGACTGTACCCACCAGGGTCCTCTGTTTATCGGATTCTCTAGGCAAGAATCCTGGAGTGGGTTGCCATTTCCTCCTTCAAGGGATTCCAGACCCAGGGATTAAACCCACATCTCTTACATCTCCTGCGTTGGCAGGCAAGTTGTTTGACCTGTATCATAGTGCCACTTGGGAAACCCAAGGGAAATGAATCCCTAATTAATAGACACACATGCTAATTGTTTTAATTATTACACACTTCGAGCTGTTGCTTAGGCTTTGCTTGTGATACTCATGTCAACAGGATCTGCTATCATAGGTAGAAAATCAGAATATTAAGGAAAGAATACTTATAGTTTCCAAACTTTCAAACTGGACATTTTACATTGTTCAGTATATAATTAGAATTAAAGCTTTACAAAACAATACTTACTGTAATATAGATGATGAACCAGCATGATTTTTAATTTCGTTAAAACTTGGAGCTGGTTGCCTGGAGCAATTAGACGTCCACAGGCCAGAAAAAAAAAAAAAGAACTTTGATCTCAGCCTCACACCTTATACAAAAACTAGCTCAAAATGGACCACGGACTTAAATGTAAAATGTAAAACTATTAAACTCTGAGGAAAAAAGAAACAAAACAGAAAATCTTTAAGGTTTGTGCTTGGTTGCTCGGTTGTGTCCGACTCTTTGTGACTCCATGGACTGTAGCCCACTAGGCTTTTCTGTCCATGGGATTTTCCAGGCAATA